ATCTTGGCATCAGTCCAGCTATAAAAGTGGGACAGTCCATTGTATAGGGGGGCTGGCTGGGTGTCTGGAACCTGCGCGCGCAACAAATAAACTTCACCTGTCCAGACAACAGATTGAGTCTTCAGGGTTGGGATTCTATCACAGCGGAAATGGCATGGATCCCTACCACCACCTCAGCCTGAACTAACCACCAGCAACAGAAGTAATGGGCTCTTTCTCCTCCCCTGCTCCTCCCTCACCCAACGTTTTAGTAATTGTTGACTAATGCCGGCCAAATGACTTTTCAAGTGATTTCACTGTCGCAGACAATTTTCCAATGTCGGAATAAAATCATGAGGGTCTTGCTAGTTGCGTCGTGCTCGTGTCATCTTGATCGTTTTAACAAATGAGAGCGTGAAGGCAAGCTAGCTATCCTGAGCTATTGGAATATTATTCAGATTGTAGACTGCATTAAAGACAATGTGGCTAATTTTGGTGAGTTCCCCAGTATAAAGTGGTTTAATTTTCTTGTATTTTTATTGTTACTTTGTTTACTTTCTGTAGAGTGATTACTTGAGCCTCAAGCATTTCAATGCATGAATGTCCTGACATGTTGTGCAAATGACAAATAAACTTGAAACTTGAAACTGAAGGGGGCTTAAAAACATTCATCACTGCCCAGTACACTGGCAAGAGATGACCAAAATAGTTTTCATTTTTAAGATGATGGATGATGGAAAAGATGCTGTTTTCTCTGCTGTTCTACAACGGTCACTGCTGTTTAAACAGACAGAAATCTATTCAGGGTTGCCAGATTGGGCAAAATCCTTATGCAGTTTGCAATTTATTTTGAAAAATAATTGTTTATCAGTGATGTTTATTCATTACCTAGTTTCATTGAACCTAAATAAATGAGTGATTCTCATCAAAGTAATTTGAATTTAGGTTAAATAAAACTAGTTCAGTTGCTTGTTACCACATTAATTATTAGGTTAAAATGACAAGCAATTTTTTACAGTGTACTACTACTACTAGTAACAATAATATATTCCAAAAATATTTACATGTAAAAAGCTAATTATCTGAGCAGTACGCATTTACTCAGAAAAACACTACTTAATTGATATATTAATATGATACATTATTATATTAACATACTGAAATAATAAGTAGTGATTTTATGTATGCAAATGTGTTTGTATAACAATTTCCACACCTCTCTTCATGGCAGCCCAGTATTATTTGTGGCCACATTCAACGCCTGGTTTGGCTAATAAAAAAAAAACAGTATGTTAACTCAGGTCACAGAATTTAACAATTCAATGCGATGGTTGGTGGCATCAGGGAGAAATCTGGAACCAAACTTTGTTCTTTAAATTTGCTTACTAAATTTCAACTTTTGACATACTTTTTGGAAAACAAGAAATTATTGTTACTTGTTTCTGTATTTAGGTTTATTTGCATTTATTCTACTGATTATTCTAATGATGTTCACAAGCAAAACCCCAGTTACTGCCAAGATAAATAGCTTTAAGTAATGTCCAAGTGCCTAAGGCTTTTGCACAGTACTGTATCTTCTGTGAACCATACAGGAGTCGCAGTTCTTTATACACTTTATACAGCAGATAAGTGTGTGTGTGTGTTTGTGTGTTGTGTGTGTGTATGTAGCAGTGAATGCAGAGCCTGTCTCAGTACAGACCTTTAAACCTGAGAGCTGTCAATCAGACTGATTGACACCCAGCACCAGGGAAACAGCGATGAATTAGGTTTCTAGATAAGAACATCAGCACCAAACCAATACACACACAGCACATTTCCATAGGCCACTTGAGTGCTGTCAGTCAGTCAGAGTGGCAGCTCACACAGCTCTTGGATGGGAGACATAAATCACACTGGATACTGAGAGAAAATAAATCTGATGATGGAAACGATCAGAATGTCAGGTTTGGTGTTGTGGAATCTGCTGGCAGACAAGATTACCACTCTTACACACACACATTCACACTCACACACACAGCCTCAAGATTGACTCCCTCATAATCACCGTAAAGCAAAAATGAAAGCATCTTCTCAAAATGTCATGAAATAGTAATCAAGTCTATTGTTGTCATTTTAGAGGAACTGTGTTAACTGCCCTATTAATTCAAGCACAACATTTACCACAAGATTTTTATGGCATGAAAAGTCTAGAATATATCACAATTTCACGGTATCACAGTATACAGTATTTCATAATTAGTAAACGCAGGAATTTACTGTTATAGTTGGTTGAGGTGGAGCTCTTTTGAACTATTTTGTATCCAACTAATGATTATTTTAATTATAGATTAATTAGCTGATTATTTTCTCCATTAATAAATTGATTGGTTGTTTTTTAAAAATTCTGAAAATAGCAAGAAATGCCATCACAAGAGCTCTAAATGATTATCAAAATAGTTGCCAACCTGCTCTAGATGTGAAACAGCACAGTCAGGCTGATCCTGTCTGTACCTTTAATTCACTAGTATGCAATTTTGGACACAAAATGTGTGTGTGTGTGAGGTTACCAAGCGAACAGACAACTGTAAAACGGGTATACTGCTGCAACCTTAGTACAGACGTGTATTATTTAATTCTCAGAAACCATTAGGCCTTCTCTGATAGTTCCCTACAACACTGCACAAATCTTTGTCTTTGTCATTTTTTTTCATACTAGATATCGTGGTTTTTAGTGTAGCGTGTCTACACAGAGACACAGGGAAGGACTTCAACCTAAAAATCCAGCAGACATTAATTTATTATAAACAAACACTAACACCTAAAACAACGGAAGAATCAAAAGCGATTCCAACAGCATCACAGCATCCATAAATTCTCACATAGAGCAGTGGCGCACAACAAAAGAGTTTTTTTTTATGCCTTTCTCTCTTTTTCCTTTTTTCCACACGTCACAAATGATTTCATGCTCGGTTAGTGTGTGTGTGTGTGTGTGTCAGCCACACTCTTTTAGCACAAATTTACCTTTTTAGAGTTAATCTTTCTCTCAGTAGCTTTCTTTAACTTTTATCTTTATCTTTTATATCTTAAAAAAAAGAAATAAAGAGAGAAACAGCGAAAGACAGTGAGAGACAGAGTGCAAAGGCGAGAGACATAGATAGAGGGCCCAAAGTGAGACAGAGAGAGAGGGAGATATGCAAATTAAGGGACAGAGAGCACAAGAAGAGTACAAAAAGAGGGAGAGAAAGCAAGAGACCTGAAAGAGAGAAACAAAAGAGAGGGAGAAAGAGAAGGAGCATGCAGTTTCTTCATTTATGGGACAAAAAAACAATAGATTAATCAGTTTTGATATATATATGTAAGTAGTTTAGTAGTTCTAAATGTTTGCTGCCCAGAGGATTCCCCCTCTCTCTCATGCACAAACACAGCAGGGAGAATCAACTACCATAGACTGTCATTTACTGTGTGCGTGTGTATGCGTGTGAGTGTTCGAGTGGGCAGTGTTTGATCTGTGTGTCTGAAAGGAGAGTCAGCGTGAATGGAGAGTGTTTTGGCCCCCCAGGTCTCTCTCTGCAAAATCAGTCTGTAATTGTCTGCTCTTATTCTGATCCTCCCAAACTCTACTGCTACATTACTTTAAACTGCAGAAGAGTTACACTCACACACACACACACACACACCCATCATGGTGTCCCCCACCCCCAAAAAACCTTAATTACACACCAAATCTACACCTGATCTGTCTCTTCAGTGTGACCTTTTACACACATGCAAAATAAATATAAACTGAAATTAATAACACGTGAGGTAGATCGTTCTTGCCCACTCTGCCGTGTGTGTTAAACTGAAAAAATCATGCAGCAGCTGTCCATGCTTCCATGCTACTGTAATACTAGCTTCAGTAATAGTAACCTTTAACCAGTAAGATGGTTAAACTTTTGCCATTTTATTATTTTAACAAGAAGCGATTTATAGCCCATAGACACATGATTTATTGAACCTACAACAAAATCATCCAAACCATAGCAGAAACATCCAAAGAACACAGTTTCTCAGCAACCTCAAACTGTACATGTAGGTCTACCAACAAGTTATAGGGGTGTCAAATAGAGCGTGACTTATTCAGACGACATTAGAATAATTCAACCATGTGTATAACTGATGATGTCTTGCACAGTAAACACAATTTTTTAGACAGCAAAAATGCAACATGGCAACAATCAAGCAAGTGGGTCGGCTGTAAATCCAGCAATTGGAACTTTTCAAAAGAATTGGAATCTCCAAAAGCAGCTCAAATTGGGCTCAAAGCGGGCTACAAACATCAGAGATATATGCAGAAGTACTCAAAGTTTCAGCTTCCGTATGAAGCGATGAAGCTCTCCATGCTGCTTTCACTTTTCCAAGTGACGAGCCCATTGTCACCATTTTCCCATTCTATGAGGAGCAAGAATATCCTACTTGCACTTAAAAGCATTCTTCTTCCGTTTGTTTTTCGCATGTCCAAAAGCAGTTTAGACTCAGCTGAGAGTTTCAGCTCTAGAATGAGGCAGAGAAAATCTCATTTTGCTTCTAAAAAAAGTAAAACATCCTGCACAATGTTATTTTGTTTGCTACTTGAACAAAACAGCAAAATTTAAAAAAATGTCGTGTCTGGTGTACATATTTTTGACGCAAAAAAAAAAAAATCATTTTGCACTGCGTACCATTTATTCATATTATGTTCAGTGTCAACAGATGGACAACATGAATTATTTTAAAACTACAAAGAGCAAATATATTGTATGTGTACCTAATAAAATGGCCAATGAGTGTGAGCCAATGAATAGTTTGTCATACTGTGAGCCAATACTGTTTGTACAGGTGCTTCTGTTTTTTGTACACCCCTGTAGATATATTAACAAAATATTACAGTTTCTCACTAGTCTGAAAGTACTTTCTAAATAAAAGAAAAAGAAAGGAAAAGAAAAGAAAGAAAGTGGGGAAATAAAGCATAAACAAACTGGCAACAAAGTAGAGACAGAAAAGTAAAAGACTATTCAGTGTACCTGCATGCAGGTAGGCCAAGTCAGGGTTTTCGATGTCCGGGTGATTTTCCTTCAGATGATTACGGAAGTCCATTGGAGCATTAGTGCCGTAATCACACTTCGGGCAGTTATACATCATCACTCCCTCATGCTTCCCTGTGTGCAGGATGTGCTTCCGAATATTCTCTGCACAGTTTGACCTGACAAATCACACACATGCAAGACATCATAAAGCACTTTTAAAGCAACACCAGCAGACTGAACATAGGACTGAACATAAATGAAGAGATGAATGAACATCTTAGTACACAACACAAATGCCACTGTAAAGATGCACAAAGAAGAAATTCTTTGTAACAGATGTAATAAAAGGAGAACAGCTACAATTCAACTTTAAACAGTTCTATAGTTCCAAAGACACAACAACACAGGAATACTCACACACACACAGAGCAAGATATTGATATAACCAGTACTGACACAAAATACTGATATGGCTGAAATAATCTGAAATTTAGGGCAATCAAATAACTGAAGTAATTAATCATTAATTATCAAATGAGTTTGTGCAATTAATCACAATTAATCAAATGTCTTATTTGCTTCAAAATATTTATATAAATATTAGTGCAGTGCATATAACCAAACCGCAGCATTTTGTTATAGCTGTATGAACGACAAAATCAGCTTTGCTGGAATGCATTAATTATCCTCCATAAATTAACTTGACAATCAAGTGAGTGGTGAGCAGTGTGAACATAAAAAAGATTTCCCATTTTCATGACCAATGTTGAGTACGAGCAACAGCGGCTGTATGTTCCAACTCCTCTGTAATTGTATCTCTCTCACTGTCATACTGCCCCATTACAGCATTTTAAGGGTAAGTGTAGCTTTCCAATTTACTACTGTTATTTTTTTACTTATTCACCATTCTCCAGCGAGCACTGTTCAAGGTAGTCTGCTGGAGGTGTTCTCCAGTGCTAACATTACTGCTCCTACTGGTACTCAGCATCAGCTGTGTGTTTCAATTGTAAATGATGCTTCTTCATCCTGAAATATTAATTCAAATTCAGAGCTGTCGAATCGGATTTAGTGGGAGGTTTATAGACCACATCAGACATCTTTACATATTCACGTCACATGCACAGAAGGTCCGGCTCTACATGGGCTGGTTACCTGAGCAACGCTAGTAAGGGCGTTGCTCACAGTGCTGAAAGTGAAAATAAAGAGAAAGGTATCGCTGAATACGAAGACATCGGAACGGCAAACCCAGTCGTCCTTCGCAGCGTCACCCATGATCAAAACAAAGAAATGTAGAGCTAAAGAGAGCCAATGTTCTAACAATTTTTCCCATCCATCGAGCAGTCCTACCAAGCATGTGTGTAAGTAGGCTACTGCATAGAAACTCAGTCTTTGTTTTTAATGCAAATTCAGTACAGACTCTCAGCTTAATATTACTACTTACAATTTAGATGAGGCTAAAAACAGCTTCTTATTTGCCAGCTTCTTCAAATTTTCTAATATTCCATTTAACTTTAAAAGGTTTAAGGTGGAACAGGAAAATCTGAACGAGAAGTCGGTGAATAAGAAGCTGATTTTGTGGGATTCAGGCTGTCAAAATATCCTACCTAGAGTTTATGTAGAGCTCTACATAAAAATATGTGCTTTTAGACAAGGTAGCACAATTTATCAGAACAGCAGCAAGCTAAAAGGCAGAGTGATAGAGCTTGAGCTATGACCAGAATCAACACTGCCTTGGCTTTTCAGAGCTCCATGATATTAAGGGACTCAAGAGTAATGCTAAATTGGCTTTTTCATTGCTGGACAGTTATACTGGTTGTTTGCTAGCCAGCTACCAGAAACAGCCAACCAGATTATTATTGTTGTGGACCCTTGTAACTGTGAATTTTTTGTAGCCATATTGCTAATGTTAGCTGGCTAATTTGCTAATATTATCCGATTACTTGGGTAATTTTTTACTTCAGAGTTCGTTCTCTGTTTGGGAATCCTGCTAGAAAAATCAGCATAGACCAGCATGTCTGGTCACCAGCAAAACCAGTATATGTTGTGTTTTGGATGCTGGTATGCTTGTCAGAAGCAATGGAAGTTGATATGCTGATAAAAACCAAAACCAGCGTATGTTGTTTTTTGATACTTGTATGCTGATCAACCAGCATGACTATACTGGGGTGACCAGCTAAACCAAGTTTCAGCAGGGAAACTTGTAATTGTGAAATTGTTTTAGCTGTACAACTAATGTTAGCTGGCTAATTTGCTAATATTAGCTGATTACTTTGCTAACGGGGTCCTTTTTTGTTTCAGAATTCATCTTCAATTGTTTGATAAACCACATTAGCCATCATTCTCAGATAATTTCCAGTGCTACCATCTGTCTCCTTTCGTAAATGCAACCAATTTAACATATACTTGGCTAACATTGCCTAAATAGATATCTGAGGCTTTCATAACTAATGGACATATGCTACCCAGCTATCGTACGAATAGAAATGTTAGTTTGCTATCAGTGATCTGTGGTAAAGCAGACACAAATGCAGCACAACCCATGCTACAAAATGTTCTTCTGCACGTTTCAGGCAGTTATGTTTTGGAATCAGGTACCAAGTCACCAAAGCTGGTATTGGTACTGAAGTCAACTTTTTTTTTCATATCTATCCAAAGACTACTCTGTTCCATTCCATATTTAGTGGAAAAACAGAAACCTGTAGTCTCACTATGAATAGTGTTAGCGTTTCTCAGTTGTGATTTATGGCAGATTTTACTTTTAGTCACATGATCAACAGTGGTAGGTGTTAAGGTTTCTCTCCTATGTAGGTACATGTTTAGAATTCAGGGTCTAGTTTAGGCTTTAGTGTAGTCTTTACCTGTAATCACACCAGGGGCAGCGGTAGGGTTTCTCTCCTGTGTGAACACGCTTGTGTCTGGTTAAGTGAGACTGGGTTGTCGATGCAAAACTGCACAACTGGCACCTGAATGGCCGCTCACCTACAACAGAGACAGCAAGAAGTTACACATAGACACATACAGAGAGCATGCACTGTTGGACACCTTTATCTTTTGATTTTTGGTGAGCCAGTCAGGAGGAGACATTATTAAAACACACACATAAACCATAAGAGCAGCACACAAGAACAGTAGTCACACACACACAATCAAATGAAAAATATTAATATATAAAGGCTAATACTAATTGGAGATAAAAGTATTCCATTAGTGAAACATTTCACCAGAGGTTCCCACCACAGATCAGTCAAAGCATGCAGACATGAATGATAAATGAAGCAATGAATATTAATGAGTTAATATGGGATGTTTTGGCTTAATGTCAGATCGTATTAGTCCTCATTTCAGCACTAGCAGGAATTTGGAAAATTTTCATGTTTCTGAGATTTGGAATAAAACGAGTTAAAACCACACACAGTCATGCAGCCAGTTAAGCCAACATTCACTGACAGACTTAGAAATGTTTTTTTTCTGCCTGTGTGTGTGTGTGTGTGTGTGTGTGTACAAAACCTTTCAAAATTTGGACTCCCTTTACATATTAATAATTACTTTTGTTTTATTTATATATAAAACGGTAATAACATTTCATAATAATAATGATGATGATGATAATAATAATAATAATAATAATAATAGCAGTAGTAGTAGTAGTAGTATATAATTTAATAATAATACAAACAATACCAGCGTGACCAAGTAATTTTAGAATTCGGTAAATGATAAATAATAGATTAAAATAAAGCAACAGAACATGAGAAGAGTTTATCACAAATAACGTCATCATCATGTCTGTGTTTAGGTACAAATATGAGGCATTGAGGACATAAATTTTGCTATAAGTTCATTTGTGATGTTACACACCTACGTTTGTCATTTTAGAATCATTAACAATGCTTCAGCATCCCTGACATCAATTAATCATATTTCTCAACTTTTTCATAGCTTCCTTGTAATTATTTAAAGCTGTCAAGATGCACATGATTAACATATTAGAAACCATCATAATACACACATTTTATATATTTATGTGCAACAAAGCAGAGGTTTACATGAGATGGACATCTATCCGTGATCCATGATAAAATTTGCAAACAACACTGATTCTTAAGCGTTGTGGTCATACCAGCCAACAGACTCAAGGCTAGTTTTATATAACAATAATAAGAAAAATAAGAGTAATAATCTTTATTTATATAACAATTTTCCTTTTAGTTACATATACAGTTGCTGTGCTTTACACAGGAATATAAGTAAAACATTAAAACATAAAAACACTACATCCTAAATTTATAAATATATGTTACTGTCCATTAATTCCAACGTTTTGAGCAAGTGTGTGTCTGTGTATGTGTTACCTGTGTGTTGGCGACGGTGTTTGGTGAGGGCATGGCGAGTCCCACCGGCAAAACCACAGAGATCACACAAAAACGATTTTTCACCTACTCAGACAGAGAGAGAGAGAGAGAGAGAGAGAGAGAGAGAGAGATTTATTACAGCTGTTTTATCTGTGGGATGGGTTCAGTACAGCTTTATTTCTGCTGTAAGACCCATTGATTGAGCAGTTCACACACACACACACACACACACACACCTGCAGCATTTATTAACAGTGTTTCCTCCCTCTTGTACAGACACATTCTTTAATAACTGACTCCACTGAGTGACCTATTCATACTCACACAAATCAGTTTTTTGTAGCTATTTTTGTGGACTTTGTTGGACAAGCTTTACACAATGCTACAAAATACTATTCAACCTAATGAGATACTGAGGTACACAACTGAATTCAAGATAATTAAATCTTAAAGGTCTCGGACACACCAAGCCAAAGTTTAAGAACTAGTACCAACTCAACTATGCCCAACTGTTGATTGTCTTCCATCAGCTCATTGTTGCTTCTTATCTCCTGTGGACATTTGTACTCGAACACACCATGAAGACTACAGGTAACGGTTTAAACACACACACGCACACACACACACACACACACACACACACACACGCACACACACACACATTTTCTAAGCCGCTTATCCCTCTGGGTCGCGGGGGGAGCTGGAACTTATCCCAGCGGTCATTCGGCGAAAGGCATGAAAAACCCTGGACAGGTCGCCAGTCCATCGCAGGGCAGACAGACAGACATACACATTTGCACACACACTCACACCTAGGGGCAATTTAGTATCTCCAATTAGCCTGACTGCACGTCTTTGAACTGTGGGAGGAAACCGGGGGAGTACAGTTGAAACACATATACTTAATTTTTACAAAAAAGCACAAAGTAAACAGCATATTGTTTGAATGTATTATAAGCTTTAAATGTTAGTGTTTAAGATGAACCTAAACAGTATTTGAAAGTTATTCGTTTCGCATGGGGAAGTGGGATAATGCCAATTTATCACAATGGAAATGATGTCAAAACATTAAATTTTGCCATTATTTTGTTTACTCTAAACATGTCTTGCTGTCTGAGGTGAATGCACTGTGTCACTAGCATTGTAACCACCTTCGGAATTTACAGCCAACGGTCAAGATCACTGCATAAAATCAAACTGTAAAGTTTTACATGTTTTATTGTTCAGAGTTTGAGACTTGAGGGAGGACAGTACATATTGGCTTGCCATATTGGCAAAACATGATATCACTTTTACCGACAATTTGTACAGGGTTTATACAACCTAGGGTTATTTGTACTGCTTGTTTTCAGAAGGTAAAAGATGCCGGAATCAATACTGACATGCAGTTGGTAAAAGTGACTGACACATCGGGATTGGACACTAATCATTGAGGAACCCTGGCAAAAGTTGCATTACACCAGGTCCTCATGTGAATCTAATCGTGTCGGATTGCAGCTTCAGAAGGTAAAATGCGCCAGAATTTTTACTGACGTAGTCTCTGGCGCCAAGTAGGTAAAAAGGTGAATGTTTGTAAAGGTGAAAAAGGTAAAAAACTTAAAACTGATTGTTTGTACATTAACCTTGAAATAAATGCATCACGGGTGCATGTTCATAATTGTACGACAAAAAAACGTCCATGAAATGGGTGAGTATCCTATGCTTTATTTTACATGCTTTATTACCATACAGCATATATATATTTTATTTTTTATGTTTTATTTTAATTTATTTTAAGTGTATAATAAGAGCACCTCCAGTGCTGTTGTGCATCCATCTCTATTCATAGCATTGTCCTCATTGGGAATACAATAATCACAGATTATTTGTTTAAATATGTGGACATTCACAAAGCAAAAATAATTAAAATGCTCATTCCTAGTGGTAAAACACTTGTGTTGAAAATGAGGATATTTTCTCTGTGTGTCCTATTGAAAGTGCCATTTTCTTGCTTTGCTCTCTTTCATGCTTTTGTTCCTCCTATCGTTCACCATCTTTCATTGCCGATTGCTAACACTGGTTAAACATGCTCCATTGGCCATAAAAGTATGTGAGGCAAATCCGGCCAAATAGATATTATAATGATAACAATAAAATGAAAAGGCAAATGTCTTTTTGCCATTTCTTTCTCCAAACATCTGCACAACTATCCTGCCAACATTGAAAATGAAATGAAATACCTACATTTGCAGTTAAATTTTTCACACAAGCATGAGTCATTTGTGACAAAAATAAAAATGAATTTAAAGAGTGTTTTGTCATTTCATTTTTGTCATTATTCTGGTATTTAACGGCCACATCTAAAATGGAAAAGCTAATAGAGAAAAGAAAGTCTAAGCTTCACTTTTACTTTGCCTTCTCTTCATGAAATGCATAGTACGTGTCAAAACAAAAATCAAAATGCAATGTTACATTGTTATTTCTTTTTCATAGCAATAGGCTGCATATCTGACAAAATGAAATTGAAAATGCAAAATGGATAAATCAACAGCAAAGTGACAGTCTGCGATTCAGTTTTCGGCGTGGATGCACTGTGTCAGAATAAAAAGGCAAACGGAAACAAACATAGGTGCCACCTGATGGTGATTTACCTTTCATTTCCCACTTTGCTTTTCCGTTTTCAAGTTAACCAATATGTAAATATATGTTAATTAAAACTAGGTGGGGCTATGGTGCATATTTTAAGACATCCTTAGACCTCAGCGTCAGAACGGCATCATTCCCTGAAATAAACGGCTTCAACATTTGAGGATGTCCTAAAACATACACCGTAGCCCCGTCTAGTGTTAATTAACATATATTTACATGTTGGTTAACTTGAAAACGAAAAGCAAAGTGGCAAATGAAAAGTAAATCACCATTTGCCTTTTTATTCTGACACTTAAAACGCGTCCACGCCAAAAACTGTATCACACTTTGCTGTTGATTTATCCATTTTGCATTTTCATTTTGTCAGATATGCAGCCTATTGCTATGAAAAAAATAACAACGTGAACACTGTATTTTGATTTTAGTTTTGACACATATTATGCATATCACGAAGAAAAGGCAAAGCCAAAGCGAAGCTTGGATTTTTCTTTTCTCTACTAGCTTTTCCATTTTATATGTGGTCATTAGATACCAGAATAATGACTAAAATGAAATTACAAATAGCCCTTTTTAATCAATTTTTTTTTCACAAATCACTCATGCTTATGTGAAAAATTAAATTGCAAGTGTAGGTATTTCATCTCATTTTCATTTTTGGCAGGATATTTGCAAAGATGTTTGGAAAAAGAAATGGCAAAAACAGGTTTGCATTTTCATTTCATTGTTTAAATTATAACATCTTTTTTGGCTAGATGGTCGCAACATGTTCAATCTTACAAATTTGTTTAAATTTGACTAGTGAGCCAGAAAAAGTCCAGAATCTTGAATATTCCTTCTTCATTTTACTTCTCATAACATTTCTTTGTTTTAATTTTTTCAAAATTTAAAAGTTCTTCATTTCAAGGGTGAAATAAAATAATTAAAATCCCTGATTTTCAATCTTAGACTTTTGGACTCCACTGTATTAGGCGTGTATAACAATATGACACATACTGCCATTTTTGCATCACATCATGATACATTTTTGATACAGAATTAGGAAAGAAATGGTAACATAACTTCTGCATTTATTTATTTATTTACTGACATTTTCCCCAAAAACATAACAGTGTTTGGTGAAGGGATAACTGGCACAAGTAATTTCTCAGAAGAATAAAAAATAAAATGTATACAAAAGAGCAAGATGTTTATATATTACATGCTATATATTACATGCTGCATGGGAGTTTGGTAAACAAGTGTGTTATTATAGGTCTGAGCATTACAAGTTCATGTATAGGAAGTGTGGCCCTTACCTTTTGGCTGAAACGATCGTGAGAAGGGATTTCTAGCTCAATTACAATTACTCAATTAGCAAACTGCGGAATCCAGTAATCAACAACCTGATACTTGTGCGAATCGGAAGCTGTAAACATCCCTGTGAAGTTTTGCTTTTCCTCCTGGCTTCTGGTAACTGGGACTTTTGGCTGATGTTTTCACAAACGAGTTTGCATTGTTGAGGTGTTAGCATGAGTGTTTGTTACTTGCGCAGTGTCGGCATACCGTCACTGTTCAGTCTACCACTCTTTGCTCATCATTATTGCATTCGAGTTGGAAACCGAAGTGCTTCCAAACAGGAGATTAATGTGAGTATAACTTTCTTGCAGCTAAAGTTTGCTCTCTCTGCTCACCATAACAAACAGCTTAGCTAATCAATCATCCAAGGCAGACAAAGCTGAAAGCTTCTTAATCGCCAGCTTCCTTATTCAAATTTTCCTCAGGCGCCAGAATGTAGCTGCTGTGCCATTTTGGGTGGAACAGATTTTTTTTTTAGCAAACAAGAAACTTATTTAAGCTTTGCTAACCAAACCAGTTTTTTTTGCAGTTCTGAGAGCTGTGCAGTGCCTTGTTGTGTGTTATTTTTACATTCATGGTCATTATTTTTAGGAACAATATGAATTGTGATTAATAGAAACATTGAAACCATTCCAGTTTCATGTATTTTATAGCATTTACAGCAAATCTAACTGTATTCGATTCACAGTGCGTGTCATCTCACAACCCCTGTGTCGGAAAAAATGAATATTAACATGTGTATCATGATATTCCTAGTGTGTATAAGTGTGCATGTGTGTGCTTTGAGATCACAACAGTGCACGCAGCTCTAATAGTGTCTCTAATTAGGTGTGTTTGAACAGAAGCTGACAGAGGTGATTAATTTTCGCCTTGATTCCAGGTGCTCAATCCGCTGTATCGATGCATTTACGGCTTCATTTCTCATTGAAATGAATTGACAAAGTGTAAAGATACACCAGCATACCACCAGATATAGCAGCAAATTAAAGCAATGAGGGAAATCAACTGTGTATGTGGTTGTGAGATATATTTAGCTAAAGGTATTCACCATTATTCAGCTGCTCTCATTTACATTTACATACTAACTCTTCAACAACACAGACAGAGACACAACAAGCCTGCCACAGGCTCTTGCACCCACACACAGACAGACAGTGCAAGTGTTTTTGTCACCTGTGTGTGTCCTGTAGTGGTCCTTCATGGCAGACAGTGTGAGGAAGGCATAGTGGCAGGATTTCCAGCTGCATTTGTACGGTTTGTCTCCGGTGTGGAGCTTCATGTGATTATTCAGAGCCCACTTCTCACTGAAGCTCCGCTCACACAGCTCACACTCATACTTCCTACAGCATGCACACAGAGATACAGAAGGGGAGTTACATACAGTTCCAAAAGCAGAAAAAAAAGGAAGAAATTTATGTGATCAAGTAGCATACACAAATACACACACACACACATATACAGCGAGGGCTGGCAAGTCTGTATAAGAAGCCACTGATTTTCTATCTAGTCTGGCTTTGACAATCATGAGTCAAGTTTATTCTGAAGTGAGTCTGAATCTGTAATGACTCTGATTGTTAAATGATTCTGATTCTAGAGTGACTGATTCAAGTTGATTCTAGACTAGACTGATTCTAGAGCAAGTGATTCTAGAATGAGTCTGATTCAGATTCTGAGATGAGCTTGATTAGAGCTGATTCTCAAGTGAGTCTGATTCTGGGGTAAGTCTGCTTCTGGAATTATTTTGATTCAGCCTGATTCTGGAGTGAATCTAATTCTCATTCTGGAGTAAGACTTATTCTGATTCCGGAGTGAGTCTGATCCAGTCTAACTTAGGTTGAGTCTGACTCTGAAGTGATTCCGATTCTCATTCTGATGAGTCTGATCCAGCCCAATATTAGATTGAGTCTGATTCTGATTTGAAGTTAGTCTGAGTCTGATCTTGATTCTGGAGTGAATCTGATTCTGATTCTGGAGCAAGTCTGCTTCTAGAATGATTCTGATACAGCCTGATTGTGGAGAGATACTGATTCTGAAGTGTATCTGAATCCAGTGTGAGACAGATTCTAATTCTGGAGTAAATCTGATTCTCATACTCCAAGTAAGTCTGATTCTCATTCTGGAGTGTGGCTAATCCAGTCTGATTATGAAGTGAGTCTAATTCTGATTCAGTCTGATTCAGGACTCAGTCTGATCCTGATTCAGTCTGATTCTGGATTGTGTCTGATCCTGATTTTGATTCCTGAGTGAGGCTGATTCAAGAATCTCTAACACATAACTCCTAATATCTGGAAGAAACTTAAAACACCAACATAAACACCAAGATAAGAGTGAGTTTTAATGGTGATTGCAAATGTGAGTTTATTTCTATTTCTGCTGAAGCTGAAATTACTCTTTAAAAATTGAGTAAGGTATAACGATGTAGAGTACAGTGCAAAATCAGAGACAAAAAAAGTTTACATAAATGCAGAAAATATGTGTTTCAGTAGGAACAATTCTTAAGAGTACTCACTGATTTTCAGATTTTGGGACACATTTACTTCAAAACAATAGGAGCTAACTGCTCGGTATGTAGCCATGAGGGACAGGAATGCAGTCTCCCTTGCTGTTCTAAAACGCGGAGGTGCTGCATTATTGGAAATACAGGCTCTGTGCAGGTACATTTTTCGTTCAAGGTACAATGTGAATGTACCCTCAAAGGTACAACAGTGGTTTTAAGGTCCAATTGTGTACCTTAAAAAGGTTTTTCCCATGTGAAAAGTACATATTTGCACCTTTTTATAACCTACTGTTTTAAAACTGAACAATAAAATAAAAAGCCTGGAGACGAGACGGGGTGTGTGTGAAGTCAATACAACTTTCAATGGTTCATGGTACAGTTATGTTCCCTGACTAAAGGTACTCAGATGTAGCCTTGAGGGTACCACCTCAGTGACAAGAGGGGTACTGCCCCAGTGACAGTATCATATCTTTTTCTTTCTGAGAGTGTAAAATAAAGCTCTGTCTATGGACTACAACTCTTTGTGTTTCAGGTAGTGACATGAAAACGTTCAACAGCATTTTCTGAATAAAGTTTTCTCTTTATTTAAAAATTAAAGTCATGATATATATATTTTTTAACTTTTTTAATAAAATAACATTGAAAAAATTGAAAAAGGTATGAAATATTTTAACTAGCTAAAACTTGTTAGGGCTTGGGACAGTCATCTCCCAATAGAAAGTACAAATATATGATGATTTTATGTATATTTAACTTATTACTATCTCAATTAATGCCTGGGTTTAAAGAGATAATAACACTACCCTTGTAAATATCAATATATCACTATTAATATATTAATATATATATATATCACCATGTGTATATATATATATATATATATATATATATATATATATATTAATTAAGCAATTAAGTTGTTATGTAGTTTTCCTCTCTGCCTCGTGTGTCTAGAAAATAAATGAATTAAAAATAGTCTCTGATTTCTGCACATTACTCTATTTAAGGTGTGTACATTGTGCATACTTTACATACCAGCCAACCCCCAATCCATGTCTATTAATACTGCATGTAAAACCCAGAACAAGCACAAATTTACTCTGGACTATAAATTTAAATAATGAGCCGTGTTCCTGATCTAATTAGCCAAAGCTTCTCATTCTCTATTCTTCTTGAAATTACACATCTACTGTAGCCTACGGTACTGGACACAATGCATGTGTTTGTTTTTCTCTCTTATAACCAGAATTCTAATTCAGGGATCACCTCAGACACAGACACCTACACATGCCATACAAACAGGCCATACATCAGGGTAGCATGACACAGGATGAAAAATTGTATTAATAAATTGAACCTATTATACAGCCCAAACACAGCAGTGACAAATGACACCATTGGAGTCTGATAAAGACTGCATTTCAAACCTACTTCTGCTTTATGTTTAATGAAGCAAAACTGTGTGTGTCTAACAGACACTCAGAGTTAAAGGGTAAATTGCTGCCAAACAGCATCAGCAGTAATCAGCTGTAGAGCTAAAGCAGCACAGTTAAAGGATTTACTGAGATGATTTTAACAGAAATAAAAACTTCCACTAAAGTCCCAGCACCAGCTTAAATGTTCAATTTATCAATAATTCATCAACAAAGGCCAAGTCTACCTTCCACATGCTCCATACATACCACATATATAAGAATAAAAACAGAGACTCTACCACCATTATTACCTTACCATTATAGACTCAGGCAAACAGGCAACATGTATATATTATTGCTGCCAGAACAAAACTTTGTAAGTGCTTCTCCTGCTTTTCTCCTTTTCTGTATCTTATATTAATGGTCAAACCTTATTCTCTGCTCCTATTGCTCATGTTATTATTTTGCTATCTGGTGTCGACCTGAGAAAGATGGGTTTCCCTTTTGAGTCTTTGTTCCTTTCAAGGTTTCTTCCTCTTGCTCTAAGGAAGTTTTTCCTTGCCACTGTTGCTACTGGCTTGCTCATAGGGGCTTAGATTTTTCTGTAAAGCTGCTTAGTGACAATGCCTGTTGTAAAAAGCGCTATATAAATAAACTTTGACTTGACTTGTCCTGATAGCGATGATGTACTCAATGGCCACATTATTCGGTACACCTACTGTACTTTGCTGATAACCTCATGGAAACAACCTGTAATTGCAGAACTACAAAATTCCCCTATATGTGTGTACAGTACTTGAAAAGGGAGATCAACGTTTCACTGATTAAATTTCCAGTCAAACGGCCAAAACTTATTTTATTTTAAGCATAAGAAAAAAGAGGAAAGTGTATTTGATAGGTAATTACATAAAACAACCTTAACAACCAAATATAATATCAACATTTTAAGTATTTAGTTTGTCCAACTCTTGCCTTTATTGCAATTTGCCTTCCATTCTTTTCAGGAGACTTGCAGTCTTACAAGTTGGTTTCATTTTCTGCTTTTCACAATCCAAGTAAATTACAAATTTACACTCATCAGTCCATAAAACCTTACTCAACATCTCAGATGTTAAGTTTCTTTTTTCAGTAACAGCTTCTTGACAGCTACACATCCTTTCAGACCCCTAGCATTAAGTTGTCTTTTCACAATGGAAGTATGGGCAGAGTATGCACAGAGCTTGATTTTCTCCTCTTTCTCAAAGATGAAAGTTTTAAGAACTGTTCATCTGCTGGTTACAGTTTTGGTGGTCCCATTTTCTCTTTATCATTACTTTAGTTTGACACTGGAGCTTTGAGGCTTATGTAGCTAGTAAGTAATGTAAGCTCCAACTGACCAATTAGCACTGTGCAAACTGCATGCCTAAATCCTCAAGCACTTGCCTCAATGTATTGAGTCATTAAATCATTTTAAATAGACTTGCTTATGTGGTTTCTTATGTGACCACCTTCAAATAAACCAGTACATAAAAACCCTGTTAAAGAGCAATGAGGTCCATTATATATTTAACCTTTAAAAAAGTTCCTTTGGGCTGAACCTTTTCCATTCCTTACATCATCACTGATGGAGCCCATCCATCTACACGTAACAGTCACTATAATTAAATAAATTTTATAAAATTGTCTAAATATAACAATGTTTGTACTGGGGAGAGGGGGCTATAATGGATAACCACAGCTGCACCAATTAAAAGCAGTTTGAGCCTCATTAATCATGGCCAGTTTGATGTAGTTGCTGTGGGACATGAAGGCTGTGCTTGGATCGTGATCTCATCACTCATGATCTAGACTAAACCTTAAGATGTCCAAAAACCAAACCAGTGATAAATAAACACCAACATTAACACACAGAGGCAGCATTAACAAACAATCACAGTCTAATGTTAATGTAGATTTATGCACTCTTTCAGCCTGAGTTTGTTTATTCAAGCTGTCACAAATGCACTCTCTCTGGTCAAAAAAAAGACAAAATTACAAGCTCTATCGTTGACTCTAAACTCTAAATATTAACATTTTACTTACCCCAAAGTGTAGACATTAGCATTTCACTAATTCTAAATTTAAGAAATTAGCATTTCACTAAGCATACACTCTAGATATACTCTCACTGAAGTGGTTTCTGAATCTATGTTACATATTATTATCTATAAAATGGACAAAAGTATAAACACATTTCAGAGCATGCAATGTACTTTTCATCGACAAACATGCCACTAACCATAAACAACAGAATTTTAGCATTTCCTTAGCCCTAAACACTATATATTAATATATACTATATCTAAGCCAAGATCAGGATTAGATGTTAGTGTTTCGCTAAACTTAAACTTCAGAAGTTAGCATTTCGCAAACCATAAACTCAAGATATTAGCTTTTCAGTGACCCTTAT